CCACCTGTTCTCTTTGCATTGGTTCTGGGGGCCACAAAGGGGCAGGACATGAAATCAATAGAGTTGAGTCTTTAAAAGCCAAGGCGGCATTTTTTTTTTTTTTGGCCTTTTTTCTTTAGAGCTGAATAGACAGTTTGTTTGATGTTGATAGGTTTTGTGTTGCCAGCCCTGAAATGAGATCTGGTGCTCCATCCCCCACAGACAGGAGATGCTGGGCCTGCCTGGGCCAGGGAGTTCATGATGGCCTCTGCGGTATCTGTGGTCTTGTTTTTCCTTCTTTATTTGGGTATGCTGTATAGTATGTGCCATTTTGTCTTCACTTTGGTGTTTCTAGATCATAATATTGGAATTAGTTCACAGCTGAAGTCTCATGTTTGGCTCCTGAAACAGGGAAGATCTGGGTGGGACAATTTTAGAAAATAAAAATGGTGGGTACAAAATGTGTATAAATTGCTTGAAGAAAGAATGCTATGTAGAAAATGTCCCAGAAGTACTAAGAAGAATCAGTGATCTCCCTGGATATGAATCCTAAACTCTTTTTTTTTTTTTAAATAGCAGTTAGGTCCTCATTGGGAAATGATGATATTCAGAGGAAGTTGCAAACATAGTTCAAAGAACCCTGTACTCTTCACCCGGTTTCCCCCAAAGTGACATCTTAGGTAATGACTTTCATGTCTCTGGATAAATATCCAGCAGCACAGTTGCTGGTAGCTACATTTTTTAAGAAACTGCTCAGCTGTTTTTCACAATGGCTCTACAGTTGTACATTTCCTCCAGCAATGGATGAGTGATCCAGTTTCTCCACATCCTCACCAGCATTTCACGTTGTCACTTTTTTTGTGGGGAGCGGTACCGGGGATTGAACTCAGGGGCACTTGATCCCTGAGCCACATACCCAGCTCTATTTTGTGTCTTATTTAGAGACAGGGTCTCACTGAGTTGCTTAGAGTCTTGCTGCTGCTGAGGCTGGCTTTGAACTCACAATCCTCCTGCCTCAGCCTCCCAAGCCTCTGGGATTACAGGCATGCACCACCGCGCCTGGCACTACTTTTTTTATAAAGACAAAATTTGTATAACAATTAAGTGACATTTAGAACATCCACAATATTATGGAATCATATCTACTTCCTAGATATTTTCATCACCACAAAATAAAACACTATACCAATTGTTAAACAATTAGTTCCCCTATGTCTCTTCTACTTAGCCCGTGGCAACCACCAATCTGCTTTTCATCTTTTTGAATTTACCTCTTCTAGACATTTCATATAAAAAAAAAATACAATATGTAACCTTTTGTAACTGACTTCTTTCATTTAGCATGTTTTCAAGATTCATCCATGTTGTAGCATATATCATACTTCATTCCTTTTTTTTGGTACCAAGGATTGAACCCAGGGACACTTAATCACCAAGCCACACCCCCAGCCCTTTTAATTAATTACCTAATTGATTTTTTAATTTATAAATTTATATTTAGAGACAAGTTGCTGAGGGCATCGCTAAGTTGCTGATGCTGGCTTTGAACTTGATCCTCTTGCCTCACCCTCTCAAGCTGCTGGGATTACAGAGGTGCACCACTGTGCCCAGCAACACTTCATTCCCTTTTATAACTAACTAATATTCTACTTTATGGATATTCCAAAATGTTGTTTATCCATTTATCCCCTGATGAAAATTTAGATTGTTTTCACTTTTGATTTTTGTGACTAGTACTGCTATGAACATCTGCTTTGAAGTATTTGTTTGAATGCCCATTTGCAATTATTTGGCATATATGTCTAGGAGTGTAATTATGAAATCAAAAGGTAATTCTTCAACTTTCTGAGAAACCACCAAACTGTTTTTCATAATAGCAGCAACATTTTGCATTTCTGCCAGCAATGTGGTATTTTTTTTATCCCCGTGAGTGCAAAGTGATATCAGGATATTCCAATTTTTTGATATTAGATAATTTGGATAGTTTGTGCTTTTACAATAATTAATTCATTTCATTTAAATTTCCAAATTTTTGTGTGAAGAGTTTTTCATAGCATCCTCTTATCCATTTTGTACCTGTAGGTTCTGTGGTAACATTCACTTAGTCATTCAAGATACAACAGTTACTAATAGGGCATTATGTAAAATTGTGGATGTGTAACCGACGTGATTCTGCAATCTGCATTTGGGGTAAAAATTGGGAGTTCATAACCCACTTCAATCTAATGTATGAAATATGTCAAGAGCTTTGTAATGTTGTGAACAACCAATAAAAAAAAGATATTGGCCATTTGTATTTGTCTTTTTTTCATTGTCAGATTACTAGTTTGTCAATTTTATTAATTTTGTCTTGCTCTTTTCCCATTGGGTTTCTCTCTATTGTATTTCTGCTTTAAATATTATTTATTTTGCTTCTTCATTAATTCCTTCCTTCTTCTTGCTTTTGGATTTAGTTTGCTCTTCTTTTGTTAGTGCTTTAAATGAGAATTTAGATTACTGATTTTAAACTTTTTCTCATGTGTAATGTAAGCATGTTATAAATTTCTCTCTTAGCATGCATTTACCTATGCTCTACAAATTTTGATATATTGTTTTAAGCGGATTTCTTTGCATTTATACTTTGGGGAGTTCACTCAGCTTCTTGAATTTCCACATTTATGTCTTTTGCCAAATTTGGGGGAGTTTCAGTCATTAATTCTTTAAGTACTTTTTCACTCCTATTCTGTGTCCCTCCTCTCCTTTTGGAATTTTAGTGGCATGATTGTGAGATCTTTTGTTTATAATCCCAGATATCATCAAGTCTCTGTTCACTTTTTTTCTGGCCTGTTTTCTCTCTGTCATTCATATTGGGTAATTTCTGTTGTTTCATCTTAACTTTTTCCCGTCTTGTCCTTTCCATGCTCATTTTTATCCCATGCATCAAGTTTCAGATATTGTGTTTTTCAGTTCTAAAAATTCTGTTTGGTTCGTGTGTGTGTGTGTGTGTGTGTGTGTGTGTGTGTGTGTAATTTTTTTGCTGAGACATTCTCTATTTTTGGTGTAATTGTTGGTTAAAGCATTTAAATGATTAGTGTTTTAAAATCCTTGTCAGATAATTCTAACATCTGTGTGTCATCTTGGTGACACATCTGTTGATAATATTTTTCTTTCCATTTTTAAATCTTCTTGTTTCTTGGTATGACAAGTGTTTTTCTCTTGAAATCAGAACATTTGGGGATGTTATGTTTTAAAAGTGGATCTTATTTCAATCTTATGTTGTACCTGACTTCTTCTGATACTGCCTCTGGCAGGGAAAGAGGGGCACCACCTCATTTTTGCCAGGTGGATATAGAAGTATGGGTTCCCCCATTTAACCTTTGTTAATTTGTCAGAAAGGGTAGGGCTCCTCATTTCCGCTAGGCAAGGATGAAAATTCTGGGTCACCACTGGGCATCTACTGATAACCACCCTAGCAGAGATGTGGAGAAGTGCCTCATTACTGCCAAGTTGGGGTAGAGTCTAGAATCCCTGATTGGTCTTTGCTGACGGGATGGAATGGGACTGCAGTGTTTTCTCTGGTGTTCAGCTGAATTAGAGCACTTTTATCTAAAAAATTTCTTTCTTGCTAAGTTACCTCTTTCCTGGTTCTCTGGTTAGAAAGAGCAGACTTTTTTGTTGACATTTTTGTCAGTGCCTACTGGCATTCTGAGTTGCTGGTTTCTTTTTTTAATATTTATTTCTTTTAGTTGTACACAATACCTTTGTTTTTTTAATATTTATTTTTTATTTGTAGTTGGACACAATACCTTTATTTCAATTATTTATTTTTATATGATGCTGAGGATCAAACCCAGGGTCCCGCATATACGAGGCGAGCACTCTACTGCTGAGCCACAACCCCAGCCCAATACCTTTGTTTTATTTTATTTATCTTTATGTGGTACTGAGGATCGAACCCAGGGCCTCACACACACTAGGCGAGCACTCTACCGCCGAGCCACAACCCCAGCCCTGGTTTCTTTAGTAATAAGTCTGGAATATATGAGGCAAAAGAAAACCCAAGGAACTCCTCAAATTCCAAGATTCCTTTCCACTCTGCCTTCTTTCTACCTTTAAGACTCTTTATTTGTTTGATATAAAAGGTCAAGAAATTTTAATTGTACTCAGTGGGAGAATGGGAAAAAAGCACTCTGTCTTTATAGAGATAGAAGTTCAGACATTGAGACTTTAGAGCCTCATAATATATTGCTAAGAAGATCTGTGTTAAAACAGGCTGCTCTTGTATAAGAATGTCTTAGCAGAGCTCTTATCGCATGTCCACCTTGTGGAAAACAAAAAGAAAGGACATCTTTACCTGGGTTTGTATGTCTGCTCCTCCATCACAGAGCACATACATTGGAATAGCCATGGTCACAGTCTGCTCAGTTTGTTTCCTGTAAACCAGTTCACCAGAGTTTCTTGAGATCCTTTCAGCACCCATTGCTTCCTTCTAGTGTCACTTTGTGCTTTGAACTATTGGTCAGAACACTTGATTAGGTGCTAGCAGGGCCATGTTGATATCTGCTCCTCTATGGGTCCTAATACTTACTCTCATAGAGCTGAAGGAGCCCTAAGCCATCACTTGATCCACCACCATATTCTTCATACAAAGGAACTGTGTCCCAGACCACGGAAGAGTCTTCCCTGTGTCCCATTGCATACCACTCAAAAGCACTGAGAGACCTACAGCCCACATTCCTCATCTGTGTGCCTGGTGTTAGTCATATCAGGCTGCTCCTCCACCCACCCCCTGTTCTCCCATAAACCTTGCTCTGCCCCATGACCAGAGACTGACATTTCATCCCTACTAACTGCCTCACAGAAGTGCCCTTCATCACTGGGGGTGGGGGTGCTCAACAAGGGTTCTGGGGTGGGGAGAGAGACGGAAAAAGGAATGTGGCTGACTCCACACAAACCTGTCCTCAGAGTATAAGTCTGTGATTCACGGGGTCAATGGTCTCATCTTCATATCTGAAAGACAGTGTACTTTTTGTCTCCCTAAGCCCTGTGTCTAGGTCGTTTGGGAAGCGCCTTGGAGAATCAAGAATAAAATTGCAGGTCAAACAATGGATGACTGGAAAAGTCGGCTTGTAATCAAGAGCATGCTTCCCCATTTCGCCATGGTGGGAAATCGGCAGGAGCCCAGAAAGCTCCAGGAATCGGTCAGAAAATGGGCCATGGTGGGAGGGGGGTGTTGAATGCTTCTAATCTTAAAGTTGAATATAAGATGTGTTATTGAAATTCTCTATGCAAACTTGATGGCAGGGGTCTAACCCAAAATATAATTGAATGTGATGTGAAAAAGATCTAGAAAATGAGCTGCTCCTGTCCCACATGGGTTTGTGGAAGAGCTAGAAATATACTCCAAGGCTCAATCTGGATTCTCAGTCCAGTGATCTCTGCACTGAACCCCTTTAATTGAGGAAAGGATGAAAGATGAGAGGAAAGAAAATCTTCCTTTACCTTTGGATAGAAACCAGCCAGAATGGAAAGCACTAGATGTCTTGCATTAACTTCCTAATATGACTAAAAGAAAGAAGCTAGTGAGTAGGGAACACAAATTGTACTTAGAATGAGTCCTTGGAGCAGCCAGCCATGCTCTCACTCTGTAGTCCTAGTGTCCTCTTTACAACTTTTTGGACAAATTTTGCTTTCCACTCTAGGAATCCAGAAATCATCCAACTGTCTGAAATTTAGCATTTTGATTCTAGTGGTAGTTCTGTAAGTCCAAGACAATGATAGATAGGGCCATGAGAGCCATGGGTTGGTTGAATTTGACAATAAAAGCCTGAAACATCACCAGTCTAGTGAGATTAACTCAGTTAGAAGGAGTCGCTGCAAACACAATGGCTGTTATCTTAGGGTATTGGGCCCAAAAGGAGTGGCTTACTTAATCTCTGAAATTAATAGAGCAGAGAGGAAATGGCTCTTATAGAGCCATGGGTCTGCTTCCTTCCTGTTCATAGAACTAGGAGCCCTAGGCTCTGAGGTAATGCCTTTTCACATAATTACAGGGCTTGTCTTCTCCAATTCCTAGGGCAATGTACTTTATTTTAGGATACTGATATGTGCCCAGGTGTGTGTGGGGAGGAGGTGATTGAATCGTGCTTCTCCTTTTTTCCCCTCATTGCCAACAATGTTTTGAGAATGTGCTATGAAGTTAAATGTGTACATGTTTACAAAATTGTGTTTACTGGAATCCCAGCTCTGGCAGAAATGACAGTCAGATGACAGCTATTACTTGGCCAGCAACCTGTTCCCCAAACTGCCAGCCCCTTGTGAGGTATCTTCTAGAAGGCGATTTTTAACCTCCATCCTAACTAACTACCCCTTTTATTTCATGCTTTTCTCTTATGGTCAATAACTGAGTATGTAAATGAAGAATCTCTGATAGTGGCCCCAGAGTTCCTGATCAGTTTTAGTGTGACTTTACACCACCTCTTCATTTCCCACTTGTTTTCATTCACTTGGGCCAAATCTTAGGAGAAAAGGGTAAGTAGGTTGTGTTGTAGGGGTCTTCTTCTCCTTGTCCTCTCCCACTCCACCAATATATATTTTTTTAAATGTAACACATAAGTAACTGCTTCAGTCTAAGCAGTGTAGATCACAATGCCCAGGGAGAATTGTGCTTAGAAGGAGTCCTTGGAGCAGCCAGCCATGCTCTCACTCTGGAGAGGCTGTCATTCCTCATGCTTGGCCTTTTCTGGAAGATAGCCTTTAGTGCCCTTTGTAAGCTTTGCCAAGATTTCACATTCGTTGCTTTAAAGTCACACCTTGGACTTGACCACAATCAGTCCTTCTTCCTCCCCCATGTCACACCTTGTTCTCTGTCCTTGGCTCTGAGTGACCTATTTTCAAAATGCCAAACTGTCCTAGAAGACTAAGGATTTGCCCCAGTTAAGGGGATCCAAAAAATATGTCTCAGGACTCAGAAAACAGCTGTCTCAGAAAAGTTATCTTCACAGTTGAAACCACATCTGTCTTCTTGGAAGACATATGGTCTCTAAAGGGGATGACATAGAGAGAGCCTACACCTTTGTTGGGCAAGTGATGTTTCCATCATTGAGCAGCCGGGGCAGCTCTTGGTGAGGTGTGAGAGCAGCTGAATTTTAGTGTTTGGTCAATTTGTGATACCTCAAGAAGATACCCTGTGCTAAAATTGAACCCTGCTGCACACACTGAGGATCTCAGCAGCTGGATTCTTAAGAAATGAGGGACAGAGATTGACAGATTAAAAGCAGAATGACCTCTGAGTTCACCAAGAAACCTGTTGACCAAAGAAGTTACTTCAGGGCCTAGAGTGTGAGCAGCAGAGGGAGGCCCTTTGTAGGATCTAGCTGTGCATTTCCAGATTCTTCCATTGTGTGTTGTTTTTCTGATGCTTCATAAGATCCAAGGATCTGCACCTTGCATTCACAAAACCATGGATATCTAGGAACACATTGCTTGCACCACTCCCTCTCATCCTGAAAGCAACCTTAACATAGATATCTGCTTCAGGTTTGGCTGAACTGGTTCTCTTGTTCTTTCCTGGGAAACAAACTAACCAAAAATGCACATCTTAAGTCAGAGTCTTGAAATAAAATTCTATCTGTCCCAGAGGAAAGTTCTTTTGAACAGCTCTGGGATTTATGTATAAATAAATTGAGAGCCCCATTGCAGGAATATATGCATCTGATGTGACAGCTATTCTACCCTAAGACCAAGTTTCTGGTCTTCCATCTGCTCCTAAAAGCTCCAGAGTTTTTCTGAGAATGAAGTTCAAATGAACTAAGGGCAGGAATACCTGCCATTCACTAGGTGCAAGGTAACTTTGCTAAGCAAATATAGATAGTGGGGTACACTATCTCCTGTAATCCTCATGACAACCCTGAGAGGAAAAGATTATTATTCTCTGCAGGGAACTGAGGCTCAGAGAGGTTAAGCAATTTGACAAAGTCACAAACCTAGGAAAGTGGCAGATCTCAGCATCTGCTATACTCATCACCATACTCTGTGTCTCTTAGATCTAAAGCATGTCGAAAACCACAAAACATTGAGTTAAATATCAGGCAAAAGTGGTCATCAGTTAACTATAATAGTATTTTTAATATTCTCTCAATTTCTTGTGATAACATAATAAAAATTTCACCTTGCAAAAAAAGTGGTCATCAGAACTCACCAATGCAAACACCTTTTCAGCATCATTTATTCATTCATTCAGTGGCATGATTGATTAATGACTTATGATGTGGGAAAAAGAGGAGTTTTGCCTTTTGAACATTTGAGTGTCTATCCAAGGTTAATAAGGCATCCAGTCTGCAGTTTGTGTGTGGAGTTTCAATAGGAGGCAGAACAGTTGGTCCTTCCCTTTGAAGTTAAGGTCTTGATTTTTTTCCCCAGATCTGTAGGTCAATTGATTACTAGTGTGAGAATCTCAAAGTTATTAGATCTGCAAATTGGGAGTCCTCCAGAGTGTGCATACAGTCAGGACTCAGGTTACATGTCCCATGTCAGCTCTATCTCAGTCTATACCCTACTGAAGTTGCAAAGATTCCCTCAGCTGTGAGCAGCTCCTGGACAAAAAGGGGAACTAAGAGTATTACCTGAACAGTTGATGAGAGAAAGGGGCAGCATACTCTTTGCTTACCTTGTATAGCTAATTAATGCTACTAAATGACTTGCTCTTTAAGGCCCCAATGAGATGACATGCCCTGTAGTCCTTCTGAGCTTGCTGACCTCTCTGGGCCAGAAGGGACAGGTTATTCTTATCATTCTCCTTTATGGGTGAAGATAATTAAATCTGAAAAATCCAGTGACTCACAGAAGGTAGGTAGCTTCATCTAGGGTTCCGAGTGCAGTGTGCTTCCTACCTATAGACTGACCAGAACCAATTCTCAGCCTGTCTCCTCTCCTGTAAATGAAAGTAGGGTGAGGCAGAAGAGAGGAGCCACTGGTGTAATGGTATGTAGAGATTTGGATGGCTGCGAAAATACTGGTCCTGTTCTATTTGTCCCTTTTCTTTAGATTGGTGACCTTAGAAATACCTAGTAGGAGGTGCTGTATTCCCCTCTTCCTATAGTGTGTGATCTGGTTCAAGATTTCTGCCCATCTGCCATGGGCACATGGAGTCACATGCTTTTGCTTGCAAACGAGCACTGGACTCAGGAAGCAGATCTCAGACTATATCCTATTAGTGTGACAAGCTCTTTGTGAGACCTTGAACAAATACCTTCCCTAAAATCCAAGAGTTCACAGTCTAGGAGCAAATTATTTAGTCTTCCCTCCTTGGGAACAAAGCTATACTATTCTGAAGTTTGTTGTGCAACCTGGAGGAGAGAATGGTTGAGTGACTCTCCTGTGCAAGGTACTTTGTGTGTATTACCTCATTTACTCCTATGACACAGGGATTGCTATTTTCATTTCATCAAAGAGGAGACAGAGGTTCAGGTAATGACAAGGACTTTTCCAGTGTCACACAGATGAAAAGTTGTAAATTCATGTCTCAAACCCAGTTGCCCTGCCTGCCTTCAAATCTCCTCCCACTTAGCTGCCTCCCATTCCCCGATTAGGGACTCATATCTGTGGGACCTTTTGCAGGCCATATACAACTCGGGGTGCTCAGACTAGACCAGTGGAGAAAAGAGAGCCCCCTTTCCTGGAGCTTTCATCCCATAAACAGGTAAAGTATCTTTACCTATTAGCTCCCTAGAGCCTTGTGACCAGCATGACTCACTGTCCAGCTTGGCAGAAAACCAGAAATGAGGATCCCATAGGGATAGGGGGACAGCCACCTAGGAACTGGAATGACACTTAGAAGTCTGGATAGGAGGACCAGGTTCAGGGATTGGGGTCCTTGCCATTAGCCCAGATTCACACAGGTTGTGGGTATGTTGTGGGTACATGACTGACCCCTAGAGAGGGGATTTCGTGTGTATGGCCTCACTTCCAAAACCCAGGTGATCCCAGGGACCATCTCATCAAGGAAGCAGAAGTCTCTGCTATTTACTAAGCACTTAGGTGAGCCTCTGGACCTCAGTCTGTACATCAGCGAAGTAGGCCTATAATTTTGCTCTCTATGTGAAGGTCTCAGGGATGATGAAGCAGGACACAGATGTACTTGCATTGTAAATCACACAGGGTAGGACTGCTCTTGGCACTTGTTCTAGTGATCAGAGAATGG